CCACCACAGGCCCATGTTGATAGGTTCTTCTCCCAGCATTTGGCACTGACCTCCAATGGTCTCACCTAGTGCAGCTGTTTATACCCTTGGTGCCAGTTACCTCTACTGCCAAAAACCTAGCCACCGGGAAAATCACCACGAGGCTGACACCAAGATTAAACTGCTCCAAGCAGATCTTGCTTTCCTTTACACAGACACAAGCATCTCTTAAGCAAACCCACCTTACTTTACACCACTGCAGAGCATCCCTTCTGATCTGTATCTCCACTATGTTCTACCTCAAGTCTACTGCTGCCGCAATTTTCCTCTCATTCTGTTACCAAAAGCAGTGGTCTAATGATGCTAGGCATCCACCCTGCAAGGAAAGCTTTGGAGTTTCACTGACTTTGCTTAGTTGTCTGCAAAAAGACAACTGCATGTTTTGGCAATCCATCCAGCAGCTACCCTTGAGCTCTGCTGCATACCAACCTCCAGTTGTATAAGGAAGAGTGAGAATACCACATCTGGGAATCCCATAAGGCCCTTACGAATGCTGGATGCTCCAGCACAGACAGCAAAAGCTTCAGTTTCCAAAGTTTACATTTCTTTAGCTCAGCCAAAATACAAGAGAACGTAAATTTGCAAGAAAGGCTGTCCATATGGCATCCCTACGCATTAACTTGCAGCGTCCAGCTCTAACAGCAGCAAAGTAAAAGGCAAGAGTTGACAAATACACAATTGGAGCTCTGCTAAGTCCTGAAAAAGCATCTTCAACAGTCAATCTGCACAGCACAAAATCCAGCTGAATTTCTCTTGGTCAAGTTCAGCAATAGATCATAAAAGCAAAGTAAGCAAGACAGGCAGAAATGCTTCGGCACAGGTGAAGAAAAAAGCTAATGTAAGTTTGATATACAATATGACCACCATATCCCAGTAGCTACAGACATGAATTTCAGGACATCACTTTTGGCAGACAGTATCCTTCAGCTGCTGAAAAGGGAAACAAGTGGTCAGGGGAAGCATCTTCATAACCTTACTCTGTTCATAACAACTCCTCCTAGGCATGAGCCTCTGCCAGCTTGCATCCTCCTTCAGGCAGATCACACGTGGAGGTGTCTGCACTGGCGTGCTCCAACAGAACAGTTGCGTCTCTCTCTAACGAGACAAAGACAACTGGTATGGGGGTGAAGTGGATGCAGTTTTGCAAGCTGCCAGCTGCTATGCACGGCTATCACCACACGCAGAGCACCATTTCAACGCATCATCGGGCTTCTGGTACCCACGCTGGCCCTCAACAAGCCAGGCCTGCTGTTTCTGCACAGCACTGCCGCGTACCAAGTAGATATGCCAGGTATTGCAGCACTAATCTTATTCAATGTCTACAATTAATCTGAATATTTTGAATTAAGTTTCAAGCAGAACAGGCTTATACAGTTAAATATGTCAATTCTTTATTCACTTGGTTAGATTCATATTAAAAAGAATTAAATCAACTATGACTTTATACTACTCACAAGCTATTAGCTACATCTTAGCATCTTAGGAGAAATTGCCACATTCCTGTTTACACGAGCAGTGCAAACTTAGCAGCAGAGTGCTTAAGAAGTTCACAATAGCTTGATTTCACATTCTGAAATAAACTTTCAGCACCCTCATGCTCTCTGAATGCTAAGATATATTTATATTATACGAAACATATTTAAAACATGTTTCAAATGTTTTAAATACATACTTTATAGAAACAGAAGCTATTACTTTGATGTACAAAGAAAGCCGACTAAGACTGTAGATCTAATTTAACGCCACTGAAGATGTACTTCAGACTAGCAAGGAATCACCTGTTGTTCTGAAAAGTCACAGAAGTTTGAGCTAATCTAGTCACATAACAAGACGCTTGTCTGCTCGCATCTGAAATCAATCATTTTGTCTTCCCTTCTCTGCTGCGCTCCTGATCTAAACCCAGGCACTTTGGAATTTACCCTGGTGCTAAATTAATCACTCCACTGAAGCAGTGGAACAAATAAAGCTCATTCTCCTCACCATCTTCCAAACATCTGGGAACAGACATACAGGTCAACCGAGGGCAAGCTAAAGCACAGCTTTAGGATGAAATCTAATCAAGCACGGCTATTCTCACACTTTTGTTTTATGAGAGAGACTATTTCCTTTACAGCACAACCATTGGCATGCTACTGTCAAGAGGTGGTGAAAGCAATAGATGAGTCCTCTAGAGAAAAAGGAATACTGTACATAAAATAAAGCAAATCAGAGCCTTTTACAGCACTCTGCATTGCCAAAAATCACTATACTTACCATCACTGAGCCTCAGAATATGATCCCTTTGAAAAAAATGGCGATGCCATGCACTGTGACAGACCATATCCAGCTCTGAAGGAGAAACTGAAGAAAGCACGGATCTACCTCAAAGCACGCAAGTATTTCACCAGAAGTCCTACTGCATATCCTAGAAGAGTGCAAGCAGGGCCTACCCATTCCTTGCCTCTTACCAAAAGAGGCTACAGAACACCACGAGCTTATTGTTTTCTCTACAACACTTAAATGACATTCTGCAAAGAACAATATACACAGCAAACCACGCTCTACATCATTACCAGGTAACATTCATGCCTATAAGGAGTATAACAGCATCTATGATCGAGTCCTTTTTCCTCCTACCTATGCCTAATGCAGCCTGCAACTGAAGATCGTAGGGATTCCTTTTTGTCTAGACAGTTTCCCACAACACTTGGGCACACAGAAGATACTCTGCCAACAGACCACCGCAGTTAGGGAAGTGAAGCTTCAGAGCTGAGCTGACAACTGCAAGTAATGCTGGGCAACAAATAAGGAAAAATGATCCAGAAGCAACTGCTGTAAGGATCTGTTCCCACACCAATCTTCCCAGTACATTATTATTTGAACAGCCAAACTATATATATTTGAACATACACTCCACCAGCCTGGCTTTGGGAAAATGAAATTAAACCCAACAGTAGCCAGGAATTACTGCAGAAACCAGACACCTAAAACCACTCTATCAGTGACAATATGTTTGTATTATTTCCATCATGAGTACTTCATGAAAAAATTTTCAACACCAAACAGAAAATTGCTCCAGAAAACACGTTTGTCCAAGATTCACCCTTAGTAGCAGAACTGAAAGTTTAAGGCAAGAACTGTTTCTTAGATAAGCCTGTCATCTCAACTTCAATGCTGTCCTCCAGGACTAGCTCCCTGTTGCTCTGTGAAAAGCTTCCACATAGTTTTGTGAAGCTTATTGATTTGACAAATTAATAGTGAGACCACGAAGAACCATGGGATAATACGCTGCAGTTATCTGCCCTAGTGACCCTGTCCTAGCATCAGGTCTCAGTGCCAATAGCACGGATTCTGGACAGAAGATCAGGAAACAGCTCCCACTTTCAAAAGATACTTAGCCAACAACTTGGCATCAACTCCTCCGCTAAAGAGCAACCTGTATTATGCAACTGAATAGCGCAAATGAAGCTTGGCTAAACAACTTCATTGTACGTGGATTCTCTACGAACTTCCCTAGTATAAGTGGTGTAACCTTCACTAAGGGAAAGCCAGCAGAAAACAAAAGGGCAGAAGACAAAAGACAAGAAGGGTACGTGGGTAGCAAAGGTGGTGCTGCCTATAGCAGCAAGAGAACAGAACTTGCAGCATCTGGATTTGATTCCCAGCTTCACCACTGCCCTGCTTGGTGACCTCAGGCAACTGTTACCTGTCTGCCTGTAGCCCTGCCTCAGTGGCACTGACTTGTCTTACACTGATTAAGATGTTAAGCAAGCATTCTGCTGTGTATCTGTGGGAATAAAGCAAAGAAACTTGGACTGTTTTTGAGATGCTATTAGAATTTTAAACACACATCTGAGCTTCCTGCCAGCAATTTTCATTTACAGCGTCACTTTGGGAATAAAAAGAGTAGTCAAATCTTGACCTCCACCAGGAGAGGCTACCGTTTGCAAAAACAGAACTCTAAATACATGTATTTAATACTTCCAAATAACTTCAGTGCACCCAACGCCTGACAGTACCGCCCAAAAAGGAAAAACTCTGTTCCTCGGTCAAATTGCTCAATTTCTCCAGCTCTGGAAGTGCACCCTGTTATCTATTTCCTTCCACAGATACGTACTGCCTTTACTCCCACTTGCATCCAAAAGCTTTGGATTTTAGTAGTTCCAAGAGAATATTTTCAAAATGACATCAGAAACCTTCTACAGTCCATCAGTGCAGCTAGCATTTTTTCTGTGACTAGGATAACCTTAAAATTAGAAAGCAATGTTATCCCTTGCTGACTGAAATTTGACAGCTGAAAGACAAGTCTCACAGAGCACCCCAGAGGTGCTTTCTTCAACCTCCAGTCCCTCCTAAATACTTCCACAGCAGGCTGAATCAACTCCCCAGCTATCCATTCATACAGGAAAGCGATGGTCCTGGAAGAGGATAACCTTTATAAAAAGGTGTTCTCACTCTTCAGGAAGGGAAGATTTCAGTTTAGACATCAGCTGGCTGGGTCTACTTTAGAGGCAGCACGCTTCCTTCAAAAACGCTACAGGACCACACTGACTTTTGCCGTTTATTTCATCCAGAGCTGGGCATTTCCCCTATAATGGATGCTCTTAACACTGTCCCGAGCTGCCAATCTGTTCCAGCCTGAGCAGAGGCATTTAAAAGCTACTGCAAAGGCTTCCTTCGAGGTCCTGTCAACTGACTGACTACCTTCCACTTCACCCTTGTAAGCTGAATCGACCCCTAGGAGATCAGAAAAGCTTCTCCTGCCCATTCTACACTTGAATCCTTGCGGGAGGCACTCCACAGTGGCCTGACACCTTCACTTCTCAACTTCCCCCAAGGCAAGGCCTAACCCGCTGTGCCTCTGCTCCAGCCAGGAGCCACCCAGAGGCGATTTAAGCACGGAGCCCGTTTCCTGCCCCCACAAACCGGCCCGGGAGCAGCCCGTGCCACCGCTGCCCACCCTCCCCGCAGGGGCTGCTCACCCCTGCACGCCCGGGCTGTATTTCCTCGTCTTCCAGGGCGTGCCGGGGCTCTGCAGCGCCGGCTGAGGCGGCTGCCGCTGCTGGTGCGGGGAGGTGTTGGCGGCGACGCCGCGGCTGCCGGAGAGCAGGTAATTCATGCCATAGGTGCTGGCTTTATTCTCCCGTTTCCTCCGGCCCGGGTGGTACTGGTGCTGCTGGGGGGAGGCCGGCGGCGGGTGGTGGGGCCCGCGGGCGAGGTGCGGGGGGGGAGGCGGGTGGTGCCCGTTCACACTGTTCGCTTTCTCGCTCTCGTGGAAGTTAAAAAACTCCCCGGGCCCGGCCCCGCTGCCCAGCAGCCCGGGAGGAGCCACGGCCGCCCGGGGGCCGCAGGAGGAAGAGGAGGAGCCGCCGCCTCCGCCGCAGGAGCCCGAGGAGGAGGAGAAGCCGGGGCTCTCGGTGCCGGACTCCACCGACGAGCACGACGACGACGACGACGACACCGACGGCGACTTCTGCAGCCGCCGCCCTCCCTCCCCGCCACCACCCACCGTTGGCTGGGGCCGAGGGGTGGGGGGGGGCAACGGCGGCGGGGCCGGCGGTGGCTGCGGGCAGCAGCCCGGCCAGCAGGGCCGGCGGCGACGGCGAGGGCGAAGGCGGCGAGGACGAGGAGCAGCAGCCGGGGCCGGGCGCCCCGAGCCGGGCGCAGCCGTGGCCGCGGGGCGGAGGGGGCGAGGAGGAGGCGGCGGCGGTGTTGGCGGCGGCGGCGGCGCTGCTGGCGGCGGCCGGGTCCAGCGCCGGGGAGTTGAGGCAGAGGTAGTGCGGGAAGCCGGCGCCGCCGCGGCCCCCCACGCCCTGCGAGGTCTCCCAGATCTGCATCCAGAGCGCATTCGCGGGGCCTTTCTGCTCGGGCTGGATCCAGGCCACGCGGGGATCCATCCACGCGCTCCGCCCGCAGCGCAGCGCAGCTCAGCGCCGGGCCGCGCCCGCTGCCGCTGCCTCCAGCCGGGCCGCAGGGCACGGGCATGGGGCCGGGCACGGGGACGCGGACCGGGACGGGCAGGGCACGGCGGGCCCGGCGCTGCCCGCAGCGCTCCCCTCGCCGAGCCAATGTGGCGGCCCCCGAGGCAGAGCCAGGCGCCGCAGCGCGCATGCGCCGCCCCGTTTAAACCGGCACCCCCCTGCCCGTCCCCTTGGCCCCGCCGCCCCGGCAACCGCGCGTGCGCGCCGCCGGGGAAAAGGGGGGGGGGTGTGGAAAGGACGTTGCGATGCTTTACACCCCCCCCCTCAACCTCACCTGCGCATGCGCGGCCGGGAGGGGGCTTCGGAAGGGTTCGGAAAAGATCGGGAGGGGAGGGGAGGGGGAGTCCGAGCCGGCCGCGCATGCGCAGAGAGGCGCTGCCCCGGCAGGGGGCGCTAGGCTGTGAGGGGAGGGTGTAACGTGCAGGTGCCTCAGGCGGCTCCGTTCCGTTGAGGGGAGCTGCACGGAGCCTCCTTATTATTTATCTTGGTTTTTTTTGGAAGTCAAACAGCAGGACGTTCGCTTCTTTTCCTGTAGAAGCAGAGCTGCCGTCAGGAGTAACAGACTCACCGCACGTAAAAGCTCGCGGTGGGCTAACCGCAGCCCGGCCATGGGAGGGACCGTTGGTCCTGTCACACCAAGCACCTTCACCGCGCTGCCCGCCCCGTGAAACCACAGCGCCCTTCAGCCCGGGACACAGACCTACAGCAGCTGAGTTCAGCTGCTCGAGCCCTTGGTTGTACAGTTCATCTCTCCAGAGGGTTTTGGATAACTTTAATTTAACCTGGAGACACAGCAAACAGGGCAGTCACCTCTGTTCCCATATGTGTGCCATGAGAAGTCAACCACAAAATTACACTCTTTTATCCCTATATCCCCAAATACCTTGCATCCTCGCCTCCAAGATGGCCCAGATTTAGTAAGAGGTCCTGGGGATCAGCAACATCTCCACACGCCTCAGCCTGCGCTTGCTTTGTAGATCCACTCTGAAATACCCAGAGCCAGGACACCCAGAGCCCAGACCTTGACCCCTTTTAGCCATGTACTGACTTGTCACACAGTAGGTAAAGATCACAACTTCAAGCTGCCCTGTTAAAAATCTTAATGAAGAAATATTGTTCAGTGTTAAAAACAAGCAACAACAACAAAAAAGCAACAAATGGAGGCAATTCCAAGCTCTGCTGTTTCATGATCTGATTATTTTATTTTATTTTATTTTATTTTATTTTATTTTATTTTATTTTATTTTATTTTATTTTATTTTATTTTATTTATTTATTTTATTTTATTTTATTTATTTTCTTCCCTGCCCTGCTGATACCCTTAAAAACACAGCACCTGATTTCTCACCTTGCTAAAATTATCTCCACCTTCATTTTGAGGGAAGGCTGGTAGAGACCTGGCTGGCTTGAAGAAGCAATAACTCAAAAGCAGCTTTTGACTGAGGAGAAACACATTATTCCAGGGACTCTCATCACTCCCCATACTGTTTTGGAAGGGCCAGGATGTCCCCTGAAGTAGCCACCATCTTCTCTGAAAGGTTTACTTCTCACTGGTTTTAATTGTGTTCCTCTATTCAGAATTTCTGATGGTACAATGGTGTTTTGTCAGTTCTTTCTATGCCAGCAAATGCCATGCGTAATAGTGGGCATGGGGTAGAAGTTTGGAGCACAACCTACTCAAGGTTCATGACCTACTCAACATTTTAAGAATACGAAGAAGAAAGAAGTCTCCTCTGATAAATCTGTAAGCTGTGGTTTATTAACACGCCAGTCCACTGATATATCTCATGATGATTGAAGGTTGCAGCAGGTCAGTGAAATATCTCTGCAGAAAAGGAGGAGACATTTACATGCTTTCTTTTGTAAGTGTGTAATATGAAACAACAGTAGCCAATTGCTTCTCATGTCACAAGGACAAGGAAAATTATCATCTTCTTACCTACTCATCAGCTCTTACTTTCCTCTGTTTCCATTAAGAAATCTGAATTTTTGATTCAGTTGTTTAAAGTTATCTTGCATCCATAACATAATCTTGCATATAACAGACCAAGCTCTCACATAAATACAGTAACCTGCTATTACGGCAGTAGGAAGAAATTAATGTCTTGCTTTCTGTGTTCCTTCTGATCAGAAAAGGGAGAGATGTCTCATTCTTTTCCCATTTGGGGACACTGGGACATGATTTTGGAGACAAATATAAGTGAATGCAATTGATCAAGGTATTTAATGAATATACCTATATTGTTAATATCTAAATATACAAGGCAGTTGCACTCTGGAAAACAATCTTCTCATGATATTACAGCCTAAAATACATTTACTAGTTCATATTAGCATACAATTTTTCTTTAATAATTTAACACTCTTCAGTCAAAGTAATTGTTCTTGTTAAAATTCTGTTTAGAGAGATTCCATCAAAATCAGAGCTTGGAAGATAACTTGTTCATGAATCCATTGCTAGGTATTGCAGTTCAAGATCCTCTTTTGGACCTGGACCTGTGGAAGAAGAACAGTGTCACTCTAAAAGAATTTAAGAAATCTGTCGTCTTACAAAATACCTGGAAGTCCATGGAATAGGAAAGAAAAGGAGGGAAGGAAGTGACGGGAAAAAAACGTATACTAGTTTAGTGCTTGGATCAAAAAGATTTCCAAGACTATATGTAAAACAGGTAATCAAGGAAAGCATGTTTCACATCTTGTCTCCTTAAAATGAGACATTCCCTGTAAAGGTGGTGAGAATTTCCTTTGCAAGGACTGATTTTTATAAAAAGCCTGATTGATTTTAATTCAGTTGTCTTTTACTGAATGAAAATATACACTGAAGGTAAGACTCCCAGAAAGTATGAAAGTCAAATGTAGTTTTGATTGTCAGAAAAATTTGCTTTTTTTTTTTTTTTTTGAAAGATCTTCCTTCCCACTGGTGAACTTGTAAGGACCTGGATAATGAGAATGAAATTATGATCCTAATCTGAGGAGGCTGAATCCCTTGCCTGCTGTGGGGAAACTCACATGCTTGATTCATACTATTAATGTCATATTAAAATGCCTCACACCAGCGCTGCCTGTCTTCATGCCAGTACCACAATGCTCCCATATCTGCTCTTTTCAGTGACTTCTGTTTCTTTAAGGTAGAATTTGAAGGCAGTAGTCAAAGTGATACAACTAATGACTAAAACTGTGGTTTCACTACTTCTGAGGCCATTTAATTAATCTGTTATAAAGTGTTTCAATCTAGCTGTTTTTCACAGGAAACACAACCACACAGCTCCCTTCTGGATGAAGCTTGTATTTTGGTTTCAACTTCAGCCAAATACATCTTTGATTTGGCAACAGTGACAGTGCTGGAGTCTTTGGTAACCTTGTGGTTGATGACCTTGATGTCCTGATGACCACAATTCCAATTCTGTGAATAGTTCATATGATTTAGTAAATAATGGCAGCTGAGTTGGCTACCTAAATGGAATATGCAAGACAGTGTTGCCCAATGCTCGCTATTAATCTGTTTTTAAACAAACACTCTGAACTCATTAATACAGAGATAAATAGGTAATGTCTCATACCTTTAACATGGCTCAGTTTACACCCCTGGAAATGATGAGATGAAAATGCAACATACCCTTATGATGCAACCTTAATTCCCTTCTCTGAAGTTGGCAGTTGCCACAGGTGTGATTCTCTCAGGGCAATGCAGCGGTTGAGAGGTGACCGACAGGTTCTCCGGCAGTTCACGCTCTCCAGCACCACTCCAGGATGTTGTCCCGTATGACCTTCATTCTGGCCATCCGCAGTCTCTGCAAGCCTCTGACGCATCGCCTCCTTCACACTCACCGGCTCTGCTCCTCTTCCATAGTCTTTGCAGTCCACAGAATACATGGAGAAGACACAGGGACAGGCTCAGCAGTATATCTGATCAGACCTGTATCTACCGAAGACAGAGATAGTAAAGAAAAGAGCAAACTATTTTTTGTAGCTGGATGGAAGCACAAGAGAAAGGTTGTCTAGCCAAGGAGGTGCATCTCTAACCCTTGACCCTCAGAGTGTGCTCGTCACCAGGAGACAGGGGAGAAGGTAAACGGGAGATAGTTTCATTAGCTGCGCTCCTGACACTTTTATTTTTTCAGTAAATACATTCCTGGACATGAGAGGGGCAATACAGTTTTCATCTCTCAAGCTGAGAGGATCAAACTGGGGAGGTGAATATAAAGGCAGAACTGGAGTTTCTGGTTCTTACACAGCATGGCTTGGGGCATTCTTGCAATCTGTCCTCCGGAAACCCAGGCTTTTACCTTTTTCAAAATGTCCTTTTCTGTTTCCCATTAGAGAAGGTCTGGAATGTTGAACAGGCTAAAATCGTGTCATCTTTTCCTCCTTAAATCTTCCACTTTGCTCAGTCCTCCTTCCCTTGGCTCAGTGTCCATTTCTGATGAAGGCTGAGCTTCCGCCAAGTTTGGGGTGTTGAGGCATATTCAGCAGCGAATTAAACTGCAGAGGCTGAAACAGCTGTCAGCCACGAGCCGGCTCTTCTTCCCACTCCATCTTCCCCCAGTCTTACAAAGGATGCCATCCCTGTGTCAGAGAAGCTGAACAGATGATAAATCAACTGCTGAACAGCTGCAGCTCCTAGCCAGGCATGTTTGTACGCATTGAAAGCCTCTTCTAGCTGCCTATATAAAATAGCTGGGTGGTGAATGGAGAAAGCGTGGGAGGCAGTTCACAAGTCACTCAATTACACTTGCAGTCAGGGTGGCAATTTGAGAGAGAGGGGTTGCATGGACAGCCAGGTGTGATTCTTGCCCCACCACCAGTGTTTAATGCTGAATGTGTGTCAATGCTGGAGCTCTCTGCCTTGGAGAGCTTTTGTCATGTGTACATCGTATGGATTTGCAGTACTACAGCAGAAGTGAGATAAATGTGTAACTGATATACCCACATTATATTTCCCTTAATATGTTTGGGGCTTTAATGGGGATTACTTTCAAAAGGTTGCTTTATTATGAAGATTTGTCTTGGTTTATTACACAGCAATTATATTCTTAACACTGTTATTTTTTTACACTTTTTTATGACAAAAATATTTAACTGTTCTGCTTTAAGGATGGTCTATGCAACTTTGTAAATTGTTCTTATGCTCTATTTCATCTCTCTTCCTTGTCTAGAGGACACCTTCCTTTATTCAAAGCCTTATTTAGACATGGAAATTAAATTCTGGTAACAAGCACAGAAGACCATTCTATGAATATTTCTAGATGTAAAAAATATCTATGAGAGAGATCATAAACGAGGGAAGTTTGTGTTAAATATCTATAAAGCTCTTGGAAGTATTTTTCTAAGTGGGATCTGAATAGTTTTAAGAAATCAGGTGCTCTGCCTTCATGTCCTGATAATGGAGAAGTCGCTTTTGTAAGAAGGATAACTTGCCATTGAAGGACAGGTCGACAGAACACTTTAAGGAGACTCTATTGGCAGTTCATGACAGCAAATTCCTGGAACTGGTCAGGATTCCTCTCTTACTCTTGTTTGCAGTCAAGGAGGTCCCAGGATCATTATTAAGTTGTCATTCTCCAGGTTGTTGTTTAGAAGACAGCTGAGGGCTGTGTGAATCCTGGCGAGTGCAAGGGATCCCAATTCAGAATGTAGCTGCACATGCTCTGAAATGGAAGGAAAAAGCAGATCTGGCTAGACCTTCTGCTGGGAAAAGAATCTGTAAGTAATGCATTCCTCCGAGGAACAATATTACAATAAAAAAAAAATGCTTACTTTCACATCTGTTCATTTTGATATGTTTCTGCTGAGGAAAGATACTATTAAAAAAAAAAAAAAAAGACAGAATAAAAAATTGCAAAGAGATACTGGAAAATTTATGAGAGAGCTGATATAAAATGTGCTTAGTGAGGATATGTCCTTGAGCCCTCATCTGCCATGTTCACATGGCACCCAATAGGGCGCCAGCTGCTTCAACACTAAACGTGGAAGAATCATTTATGCGTAGGAGAATGACTATGGATAGAGTTAAAAAAGTTACATTGGGTGTCAGCAAAGACCATCATGGTGAAAGAAGAAGCTCAGTCTTATTAGCTCCTAAGCTAGATCAAAGCCATATTTGATCTTGTACAGATTTCTGCAAGCTAATTTATCTTGTGTGGACAGCTGCCTAATTATCTTTCTTGGTTTATCCTGCCCACTAGTCCTCATCTATAGGCAGCACATGCACATACCTATATATTTTTGTTCTGCACTTTATTGCAATAATAATTGCAAAAATAATTGCAAAATTGCTATAATAATTGCAAAAATAACTCCTGCCTAAGTATTTCTATGTCCTGTATCTCCACCTTCAAAGCTATTACCTTTAACTGTTCTTGGGCCACAACTAAATCACTATGACATCTCAGGAAGATCTCTAGAAGAGAAACAGCTTGATGCCTGTATGAAAGTGCTGACCTGAGCCATATTAACATTGGCCCATGGATAAGTGAGCTGAAAAGTGCAGAAGATCAAAGGAGAGCATTTTTTTTTTTTTGCCACGGTTTTTAGATAACATTAATTTGGAGCAGGTGTAGGATAGATTAGATGGGGACTGATGGGAAGGAATAACATGGTTTAGCAGGTCCTTTAGAATGAGGATAAGAACAAGGATAGGGAAGTGTGAGTCACTAAGAGAACATTTATTTTGATGTGGAGGAAGATGTGGACTAGGAAGGAGGATAACAAAGGAGATGGAGTGGTCAGATGGAGGTGTTGGCCAAGGGGCACGAAAACCCACAGTTCTGACTCATCTGTCAGTATACACCTTTGCCATTTCCTCTTTGAAGGAGCTAAAGTCAAGGCCAGGGGTCGACAGGACAGCATTCAGATGTCTCTCTCCCAAACTTTCTCATAGTACTCCAGCTTTCTTGCACCAAAACCTCCTTGCTCAATAACAGAACGAGGTAGCCCCTTTACAGCTTCCTCTGCTTCCCCTGAGACACAGTAAACTGCCTTACTATCATTCTTTTCAGTGGATGGACAGACTGTGGCCAGAGATCAGCTAGGACTTTTCCAGAGCTTCTCCAGTTCGTCCATACCATTTCATCTAGGTACCTTACACTCATGCAGAGGAACAAACATGCCTTAGGGCTGAAGGCTGAAGGCAACCAAGACACACCAGAACACCCCAAGGCCCTCTTATGTCGGCAGCGCCTCTGTCTCATGTCTGTAGGTATCAGCAATGAACAGGATAGTTATCTTCAATTGGCAATCTCCCCTCCACAGCCACAGGAATTAAATTAAGGAGTGTGTTCACCAGTCAGTGTCCAATCTCAGCAAGCACCAGTTCCACAACAAGTCTATGACTCCAAGCTCCTGGACTGATGAGCACTGTATGGACAAGTAGTCATTTACTGTGCCAAGACCAGAAAAGGCATGAGGAAGAGGGGACTGAAATGTCAGCTGAGGATTTGTGGTTGCTTGTGATGACTGCTTAGGTTGAGCTGGGAGAATAGTTCTTGTCACTCCAGGTAGGTCAGGGGCCTATGCAAGGAGAAGCTGCCATTCCTGCTGCCACAAGCCAAGGTGAAGCACCATGTAACTTCATGAAGGGGCAGCTTCATTCATTTTCCATGCTTCAAAAACACCATAGGCTCAAAGCATCCAGAAGGATGGAAACAGCCCCGGGTTCCTCCTGTGAGGTCATGAGGAGGCCTCAGAGGCCAGTGATACTCTCTGGTAAGACCTGGTGTACAGCCAGTTCACTGATGGCTCCCAGCTGAATGAAAGGCCTGAGCCTGATGTTCTCCCCAGCTGAGTGAAAGGTCCCTGCAGCCATGAGCCTGCCTTCGAAGAGCCTGGCCTCCACTACTACAACTCTAAGTAGAAGTTGTTTATTTGTTTATCATAGCTGCTACTGCATGAAGCTACCAACAGGATACTCTTTTCTGGCAGAAAATGGTGTGGTACTGACTGAAACCATGGAGCTGGTAAATTGGGCACTCACTCTGCTCTCAGAAACAGAACTTGCTCAGCAGTCTTTTCCTTTTGCTGTGGTGGCAAGGTGCATGGAGCTCCTTCTCACATCTGGAAACAGCAAGTTCATATGGAGACAAGACAGGTGTGCTCATTCATGGCTGTAGGGCTGGCTAGTAGAACCAGGCTGTAGCTGTTTCCTCATTCAGAGCTGCCTGGTGATACCCATGAAGTTGATCCCAGGTAGTTCGTCCTGAGATGGCGGTAGATAAGGTTCCTGATAAATATTTTTTTTTTAGACAGCAGCTGGGTGGACGTGCTCTCATGGCCATGGAGTTAGGTGACAGACATTAACACAGTGTAAACCTTGAGCTTCTGAGGATTGTGCAAAATTCTTAGAACTCAGTTAAGCCATGTGGCTGCCAGTGCTGAGGGTTGAGATCTGAGTCTTGCATGGTGGGAGAAAACACTAGAACAAAATGCATCGAATGAACAACTCTTGTGTGGTCTTCGGCTCTTATTTTCTCAGTTCATCTACCATGAATTAGGATGAATGTAATCAGACTGGCAATGCAGACAACTCCACAGATGTGATTCTGAGCATAATGCCATTCTACTGCCCTTTCCAGCTGCACATGTATAAATATCACGTACTGCTTGAAAAGTGCTTCTCTGACAATTTTTTTTGCCACTTTTTTTAAACACTTATGTTTATTCCTTCCCTTTTTGGTGGTCTAGGTCATGCTGTCCAGAGGCCACCCTTTCTGATATAAGTGTTCTTATGGGATGTTGTGTCAAGGACTCAGCCAATTCCTACATGATATAGTCATCTTCCTCTAGCGCCTTGCTTGTAAAGTTAGGTCAGTCCCTCTCCACCTCCAATGGGATTGTCACCTGACATTGATCATCCTGTGACTCACCTATGAGAACAACACATAGTACCAATCTATAACCCATACTACCTGTTGGGATGTTTCAAGAGTGTCATTGCAGAAATCCATGCCTGAGTCTTGGCCGTGAAGTGCAGACCACTTCAGAGTCATCCCTTGGATTGTATCTTCTAGGAGTGGAGAGAGCAAGAATGATCAAAGAAGCTGTGTCTAGAGCTGCTGTCCCAAGGATTTGGAAGCTGCCTCTTTCATATTTTGCCTGGTATTTCTTCCTTTCTGCATCTCTGTGACAAGCAAAATCCTTCCCCTGTCTTGAGTGTAAAGTATTTATTGTTCAGAACTCGGTTATGGTGTGTAATGCACACCCAGCCTGGCCATAAGAGTTCTATTATCTGGTGCTGGCCTGGAGATGATATGTCGTTACCAGTAGTGGCTCTGGCTCAGGACTAGAGGACAGAGTAGATGTGGTTTTCCAGGCATTTTGGCCATGTTTGTGCCAAAATGTTTGTGCAGCTCTGCCTCAGCTTTCCACATAGCTGCTAAGAACAATTTATTGAAGTTTGTACCGTATGACGTTGTAGTTTGCTGTACCCAATTCAAACTTTCTCATTCATTTTGAGCTCTCCCATCTGGGCCACATGGAACCCAGCAAGAATTATAGGCAAAATGTTTTAATCTCACAGAAATTACTTCTTTGGTTACCTACGAGGAAGGAGAAATGATCTGTGATGTCTCAGGGCAGATCTCATCAGTCACGCAGGAAAGTTTCAAATCGGATCTGTTAG